CTCTCTCTCTCTCTCTCCCCTTCAAAGCCTGATGTAGCCCATAGAAAATTTCCTCCATGTAGGGAAGTGGTACATGTACATTGAATTTCATTTTCAGGTTGTCAGGAAAGCTATGAAGTTGAAGAAAACCGTTATGCTTGTGTTGCTGGATGTAAATTGCAAGATCAAATCCCATCACCAGAATCATATGTAGAAGTGAGTATGAATCATCTTTATTACTTTATTATTTAAATTATCCACTATACAACCTACATGTGTACATGTTAGTCAATATATAAGCCAGGACACTTAAAAATTTTGCAGGCCGTGACACCTAAAATTTTGAAGCTGAGGGGCCCAGGACGCTTTCATTGGAAAATCTTATGGGAGCACTGGTCTGCTACCGTTAGTGGAAAAACCATTGAATTAACACTAAAATTAGTACAAAAAATCATAACCCAAAATTTGTGAAATTTCATTTAGAAATGGAAAATATTTTGATATGATTGGCTGGTCTTCAGCTAACTTAGGACACGCAACCCTGTAAAATGAATTAAACAGAGCATCAACCATTTGTGGAGAATCTAACCAGATCGTGAAGGGATATTTTATCAACAGACACTACACTTCATGTACAGTACAGACTTAAAGTATTTACCCATTAGGACATGGCAAACCTCATCTTTGCCGAACTGTTATGCTATAAATCTACTGAGGTGGGACAAATTCCTCGACCTAGTCTTGCATGAATATGACCAACAAGATGCAGTGGCCAGTGACAGGAAGAGTATTGTTAAACATACACTGTATTTCATGAACTTTTCAAACAAACACTCTTGGCATTTTCCAGCAGAACACTTTAAATTGGTACTGTAAGTTGTTTTGACGTCATATCTCAGAGTAAGTCAATGAAAACTCTTGAATTGCATTATCGAATGATCTAGTTTTTAATGATATTGAATACACGTATTTCAGGAAAGTATGCCTGATCAGTGGAGTTTCAGAACGTACATGGTGTATGTATACCCAGTGCTTGATGTTAGCAAGTACTGCCATGGCTTCCTGAACAGAGTTGGTTATTACTACAGGATGTCAACGTCTTATTATTACACCTATGGGGATGGTGATAGTATCATAGTTGAGGTTCAAGAGCAGCCNATATTCTGAGCTTATGAATTATGAAGACGTTTCATGTGGCATTGTACTTGTGTACTGATAGATTGCTTAGAACTCTTTGTTGTAGCCAGCCATGCGGTAATTTACCCGAAAAGAAAGAGTTACAACTCGAGATTCTGTTTTTTACTGTCATCTGTTTTACTGAAACGCTAGTAATTACTTCGTTTCTCTTCTCTATTCTTAGGAGGAGCCTCTGCTTGCTTGTAAACAAGGGTGTCGGTTTTCCGCTATCTCCCAGTTGAAAGCGAGGGTGTCTGATGTAGGCGAGAATTTTACGTTGGCGTGTATAGCAGGTAAGCCTCCGTTTGTTTTCGGCAATTTTAATTGTTTTGCTTTCTGTTTGTCCATGTTTAGTCTTATTTATGTCTCACTGCGATCATTTATTTAGAGCGAATTGCGCCTAAAATTTATATAAGAAATTAAAATATTGTTAGTGTCACAGCAACCTCCTGTGACAAGAAAGAATTCTGCATCTTACATTAATGTTCGTTGCTTGGATATTTTTTGCGATTAAAATACAATGAAAAGTAGTTTTGTGCCTTGGGTTTAATTTATGTGTAATTTTCCTTAGTAAATTTTTAAACTATGATCGATTTATTTAGTGCGGTTTTCACTGAGTGTCGTTATCATGTCGGAAGTAGCCGGCTTTCACATGACCTCATATACGATTGGCTTAAAATCTTGCACCACTTTTTCATCCAATCAGAAGTAATACCAAAACTGACAGTGACTCGGGATTCCCTGCACTTCGGGTCAGGTGCATGTGTTTACTTTGAGTTCACTGGAAAACTGTTCATCTGAATTTCTGGGTCCTTTGTGATATATTGGTTACAGTGATGACTTTGGAGTTGTTTTTATAACACTTTTTTTCGAACGAAGTAATTGTTCTATCACAAGAATAATCATGAAATATTCCATGGTCCTTGTTTTCTTTATTAATTAAGCTTATAGTTATCAACTTAGCAAATTGACATCACTTTTTTCGTGCATCTTCCTTGTTATTGATCATGAATTTTGTCATAACATTTTCAAAGTAGCTGTGGATCGCTGAGTGGATTTGCAGACTACTTTGACACTGTTATGATGAAATTCATTGTCAGTAACAGGACAGACATATGAAAAACTGACTTCAATTTGTTTTTACAATAAGAAATTGTCAAATTGTCCGCTCTCACTCGCAGCGTCAACATTGCATAAAATTAAGTATAAATTTATGTGTCTGTCCACTTATTGACAATAAAAATAAGCCAATGCGCTCGCGAGAATTTCCTCAACTATTGTAAAAAAATATATCGAAGTCGTGGCATACAGTGTATAACACTTTGTTANTTTCATTTTCAGGTTGTCAGGAAAGCTATGAAGTTGAAGAAAACCGTTATGCTTGTGTTGCTGGATGTAAGTTGCAAGATCAAATCCCATCACCAGAATCATATGTAGAAGTGAGTATCAATCATCTTTATTACTTTATTATTTAAATTATCCACTATACAACCTACATGTGTACATGTACATGTTAGTCAATGTATAAGCCAGGACACTTAAAAATTGTGCAGGCCGTGACACCTAAAATTTTGAAGCTGAGGGGCCCAGGACCCTTTCATTGGAAAATCTTATGGGAGCACTGGTCTGATACCGTTAGTGGAAAAGCCACTGAATTAACACTAAAATTAGTACAAAAAATCATAACCCAAAATTTGTGAAATTTCATGTAGAAATGGAAAATATTTTGATATGACTGGCTGGTCTTCAGCTAACTTAAGACATGCAACTCTGTAAAATGAGTTAAACAGAGCATCAACCATTTGTGGAGAATCTAACCAGATCATCAACGGATATTTTATCAACAGACACTACACTTCATGTACAGTACAAACTTAAAGTATTTACCCATTGGGACATGGCAAACCTCATCTTTGCCGAACTGTTATGCTATAAATCTACTGAGGTGGGACAAATTCCTCGACCTAGTCTTGCATGAATATGACCAACAAGATGCAGTGGCCGGTGACAGGAAGAGTATTGTTAAACATACACTGTATTTCATGAACTTTTCAAACAAACACTCTTGGCATTTTCCAGCAGAACACTTTAAATTGGTACTGTAAGTTGTTTTGACGTCATATCTCAGAGTAAGTCAATGAAAACTCTTGAATTGCATTATCGAATGATCTAGTTTTTAATGATATTGAATACACGTATTTCAGGAAAGTATGCCTGATCAGTGGAGTTTCAGAACGTACATGGTGTATGTATACCCAGTGCTTGATGTTAGCAAGTACTGCCATGGCTTCCTGAACAGAGTTGGTTATTACTACAGGATGTCAACGTCTTATTATTACACCTATGGGGATGGTGATAGTATCATAGTTGAGGTTCAAGAGCAGCCGCAAGAGTTTATCAGCGTTCCAAAATTTGATGAGGTGGATTTTGTGGAGAATGATGAAGCAGATAGCAGTTACAGTGGTGAGATAAACCTGTATAAACCTTTTCTGTAGTATGAAGCAACTAGGAATACTTCTGTTTCCCCCTGGATGGGATGCTAGTCCATTGCAGGGTTACCCCCAGCCTTAAATTTGTCGATACTCAATTATACATCAGGGCAGAGAGAGACACTGTGAAAATAGAGTGTCTCTCTCAAGAATGCAACACAATGTCCCCGGTCCAGTCCACCAACAAAAGAATCATTAGCAGTAGAGTAACTTGTCAGCATATGTTTACTGAATGTGGGTGTTGATACTTTTTTGTTGTTGTTGTTGTTGTTTTTTTTAATTTCTTTTTTTTATTTTTTGTTTTGTGTGTGTGCAGATGATAGTGTTGATTCCTACTCTGGAGCCGTAGTTCAAAAAGGCCGCCAGTGGTTGCAGTGTGTTTCACAGCGGTCTGGGCTTCCTTTCTGGTTTTTGACATCCACTCTCTTCTTGTCCATTTTCTTCCTGATGTGGCTCTGTTGTGCTACAGCCACCACTGCAACAAAGCAAAAGAGCAAGGTATGTGTAATATTCATGTGATTTTTCTTTTTACAATATGTGATTCCCAGAAATATGCATATCAACCCTACCAAAGGTTACAGAAAATTCCAGGGGGGTGGGGGGGGGGGGGNGAATTGCATTATCGAATGATCTAGTTTTTAATGATATTGAATACACGTATTTCAGGAAAGTATGCCTGATCAGTGGAGTTTCAGAACGTACATGGTGTATGTATACCCAGTGCTTGATGTTAGCAAGTACTGCCATGGCTTCCTGAACAGAGTTGGTTATTACTACAGGATGTCAACGTCTTATTATTACACCTATGGGGATGGTGATAGTATCATAGTTGAGGTTCAAGAGCAGCCGCAAGAGTTTATCAGCGTTCCAAAATTTGATGAGGTGGATTTTGTGGAGAATGATGAAGCAGATAGCAGTTACAGTGGTGAGATAAACCTGTATAAACCTTTTCTGTAGTATGAAGCAACTACATGTAGGAATACTTCTATTTCCCCCTGGATGGGATGCTAGTCCATTGCAGGGTTACCCCCAGTCTTAAATTTGTCGGTACTCAATTATGCATCTGGCCAGAAAGAGGCACTGTGAAAATAGAGTGTCTCTCCCAAGAATGCAACACAATGTCCCCAGTCCAGTCCACCATCAAAGGAATCATTAGCAGTAGAGTAACTTGTCAGCATACGTTTACTGCATGTGGGTGTTGATACTTTTTTTTATTTTTTTAATTTTTTTAATTATTTTTTTTTTTTTGCGTGTGTGGGTGCAGATGATAGTGATGATTCCTACTCTGGAGCCGTAGTTCAAAAAGGCCGCCAGTGGTTGCAGTGTGTTTCACAGCGGTCTGGGCTTCCTTTCTGGTTTTTGACATCCACTCTCTTCTTGTCCATTTTCTTCCTGATGTGGCTCTGTTGTGCTACAGCCACCACTGCAACAAAGCAAAAGAGCAAGGTATGTGTAATATTCATGTGATTTTTCTTTTTACAATATGTGATTCCCAGAAATATGCATATCAACCCTACCAAAGGTTACAGAAAATTCCAGGGGGGAATACCTATGACCTCCATGGAGCTACAGTGCACATGAAGCTGACGATAAATTTTAGGCGTACTGTACTTTCTGAAAAAATCGGGGGATAGGGGAAATAGAACTACTCATCGTTACTTCATGCTACAAAAACAGGGATAAGCTCCACCTGTATTTAATAGACCACTGGCCTTCTGACACAAACTTTACCATTTTTTTTTTTTTTCACACCAAGAACAAATTTTAAATCACCATGATTTTTTTTTGAACCAAGAACAAATTTTAAATCAAATTGCAATTTAACTGACCAAAATGTATTGTGCAATTTGTGTACCATAGAAAATAAATTTAAGCCACGCTATTTTACAAGATCATTTTTCATAATATTATACAGCAGGGTTGTCACAAAGTTCTGATTCAGAAGTAAGTGGCTTTATTTGTTGGAGTGGGAGGATGATATTTGCCATCTTTTTTAAATAAAGAATCACAAGAAAAGCCTAGCAGAGGAGACAGTCGATGTTTGTCATTACAAATAGACAGTGATTTTGCCAGTACGTGTAGCTGGCTACTGTTGACAATTCTGTGAACATTAATGGACAGCATGTAAATTAAGTTCTAAAAAGAATCTTAGCAGCACTTTGTCGATTACCTTGCTGCCACAAGAGCTCCAAAGATCATAAGAAACACCGTAGCTTGAACCATTGGTTTAGCTTTTGATCTAGAAAAAAATGTACAAGTACATGAACTGTCACTGACAACAACATTTTGAACCATGAAGCAAGGAATCCAAAAATGAACAAGGAAAACTATCTGTAGGAGAACAATCTTCTCTTTCACCAGACTTGCCATGGTGGCATTTTTGCTTCAGCAAAATTGATTAAAAAAAAAAAAAATGTATGTCTTTGGGAGCTGGTGAGGATATATGTATTCAATATCACGTAACAATGAAAGTAGTAAATTTTAAAATACTGTCACTGATGATCTACAGATAAAAGTTAATAAAAAATAATAATGTCTGAATGTACAGTGTATTCACTTTTGACAAATGCATACTAATTAAAATAATGTTGAGCTTGCCTGTTAAATTAATTTTGTCAGAATACCTGTAGGTATACAACATAGAATAATGTACAGTGTACAGTAATTATTCAAATATGCATTATTCATTGGTTGACGACAGTAAATGTTTGACAAAATAATTATAAATAAATGTTTACAAGCATTTGCAGTCATCAGGGACTTGTTGTGACTCATGCTCTGCAGAATCTTTCCCGATTCTAGATTCTGCCACCAAGTTTTCAAGTTAAGATAAAAGAGGTGCTGTATATTAAGTGGGAAATTCCAACTCTAAACCAACAGCTAGGCACTTACATTTGTCTCTTTCTTTTTAATTCTTTTTCATGGTTTGCTTTTTATTTAGTGTTTGGATTCTGTTTCAACTACCGTTGGCATTGAAGCGTGCAGCCTTCATTCCCAGTGTACTCCAATACTCAAATTGTTTAAAACGTAAATTTTATGATGTAATTCTATAACATAATCATGTATACAGTAAAAATTCAAATGTACCCTCGAACATTTGCAACTGAGGATGACATAGGAATGTCAAAACATGTTTTGTACATTGAAAACTGTTGTTTCCTTTTAAAAAAATTAAGTTTTAATATTCTAGTGGAACATTCTGCTTTTGATTTATAATGGTAATAGGACTGAGTGGAGTCCAATTCGGTCTGTAATCATACGAGTGATTAACAAAATCGGATGACCGCGAAGCGGGAGTCCTATTTGTTAATCACGAGTATGATTACAGACTGAATTGGACGACGCGATGTCCTGTTACCAATTAATCAATTAAACTATGACAAAATTCGAGAAACGAACAAACCATTGACTGAGCGAAGAACAATTAAACGTCATTATGAATGCTGAAAAACACAGCAGTTTACTCAACAAAGTGCACTGCAACAGCGCGTGCAAAATGATGTGTACTGTCCAATTACAAGCATGATGCGTACACTGTCCAATTAATGCTCAAATCGGGCTGCTGATAGCCAATCACGTTCGAGAATTTTGCTATAGTTTTGATTTACAGCTGTACAGTGTGTATGTGTACAGCTCCTCTAATTGACTCACATGGTCTGAGTTTGCATGACCTGCGAGTTTGACAAAATTACATTTTTATTATTTTCAATCATTTGTTTTACATGTCCACTCACCCTAACAGCCATGCCTCTCCAAGCATGGTAAACAGAATTGAAAACCTCCGCAGAACAGTGAACATTGGAAGACTGAAATTGAATGGCATATGAACGTCAGCTTACTGTAAAATCAATGAAACCCAATTTTACAGAAGAGAAAAATTGAGCACACAAAGGTGCTAATTTTTTTGCATTTTTTTTTTACCGTAATCAAGGAAGCGCAAATTTTGTCCTTAGTTTTGATATACATCTGAATGTGGTACATGTACAATTCTTTAATGAAAAACAAGAGATGCTTTGATACACCTGTATAAGAACTTTTACTGACTGATGGTCCTACATTGTATGTTCAACATTATGTTCAGATGAGAAAGTGGACTTCATAATTCACTCTTCTAATAAATCTGTTCCATGTGCCCCTATATCAAAAGTGTCTTGAATGACAATTTTGATATGGGGGCACTTACATGTATTGGAAGGGGTGCTGCTTGAAATAGGGGTACGGTTCTCATTAAAAAGGCACTTAAAGGGGAGCACATAAGAAAGCTTGGGGGTGTAACTTGAAGGAGGGTCCTAAACTGAATCTGCAAAATCATTACTCAACGTAGGCCACTTTCTCCTCCAAAAACTTTTGATTTGCGTGTATGCCCAAGCAAAAATGTCATAAAACACAATACTTATCGTGGAAAGAAAGACAGGTTTTTATGTTGCAAATGCCTTTTGGAGTAGATTAGAGCTAATTTAGCTCATATCCATGTAAGAAATGTCAAAAATGTCTAAACATTTGCATTTTTGCCAAAAAGCTCCAGGTGTCAATGGGTTAAATGAGAGTCAAACCTAAGCAAAATTGAAACAGAAATTGAAATACATGTAAAGTATAATGATTGTTTAAACAATAAGTCCTGGAACTCAGATTTATTACTAACAGCCAATGCAAAACAGTGCTTACTTTAGTCTCTTGGTACTTCCTAATCCAAAAACAAGATTACCAACGTACAATAGTGGAAGCGGCCAAACCTAGAAATGTACAATATTGAATAATTTGGGATTGTGTATTACTAATTAAAAATAATTACCGGTACAATATCTTAATGACAACAGGAAGACCAAATCATCCATTTTCTTGCGAGGCACCACTGCTGTACTACATGTACATGTACCTGACTTTATCTATAGGGGAATCTTTGCTATCACTGTTTACATTTTACTACATGTATTTTAGCACTTTCAGTTGAGAAGGCAATTGCTAGATACAAATTGAATCCAAACATTTAAAGAGCTAGTGTTTGTTACAGCAGCACTCCCAAACAGAAAAAGTCAGAGAGAGTTTCTCTGTGTTATCATTAATAATTGTGTCGTTAACAATTGTGTAATGTAATAATTGTAATGTGGGTAAAATCCCTGATTGGTTTGTCAATCATGGTTTAATAAATTGAAGTGCAACATTAGTACATAAATTGTTGAACTTTAAGTGCTTCAATGGCATTTTATCAGTTGCACTGACAAATATTACAAGAGTTGGCTGTAGAGACCACCTGTGGAAATTTGCTACATTTCATAAGTGAGATTTAGATTTAGCACTGTTCAAAGCCAGATACATGAGGTACATGTATATGTAATCAGCATTTTATGGAGGCAAAATCATTCCATGAGTGGCCTGTTTCAAACTTTCACAGGTCATCAGCTGCCATCGCAAAGATCGCTTCCCAGGAGCACATTCTTTTGTTGTCTACATGTGTCACATCAGCTGTGGTGTCACTGAATGAGGTTCACAAGCCACTTCATTTGAAACTCAGCCCTCTACATAAATGTATATACACATACAGCATCTTCTCAGAATTCTTTCACTCATTGTTAAAAAAAAAAAAAACATTTGCATAATTACTTCTTCTTGTTCATGAGCCAACTTACTTTGTGAAAAGTTGACAGGGAATAATCCGGAAATTTGACAAAACCAGCTAGCTTCAGCAAATAAAGAACAACCACTGTGGCCAGCATCTGGAATGGATAAAATGTAAGGCACATGTTACACAACATCTCCTCCATGCAGAGATAAATATATATGTATATAATTAGTCAATGGTTGACCATCATTATAGTTGATAGTCAACCAATAGTCTATCAAGCTAAGGGTCAGGATAAATAACATTGTTTGTTGGCCTGGGTTTCACCAATGGTTGAGCAACACATCACCAGTGTTTCTCTGTTACATGTTAACTAACATTTTGTTTTATTTAGTTTGCATATTACCCTACAATCTGAAAGCTTTGATAATTATATAATATCTATACATGCACATCAAGGTAATGTATCTAGGTGGGTTTAGGTAGGTATCTGTAGGTTGGTAGCTAGGTACAGTAGGTACATGTAGGTATTCAGATCGTTCATGAATAGTCTACATTACGGCAGATAGAACTGTGAGCCCGAGGAGGAATTAGGATGCAATGGGAACTGGGAATTCTAAGAAGCAGTAGCGACAAGGAAATGCAAAATGTCTGGTCAAACACATAGACACAATACATGTTTATGACATATATATTTGACTCAGCACCACTCCAGTTAAAATCCACACACCCCCTATTGACGGGGGGTTTTATTTTTTCCTGACCCCCCAAGCCCTTCAGGAATTTCTTCCTGGAGTTACCCTTTTCCTGCCTCAGAAAAGAGCCTATTTAAAGTGGTACTATGATCAAATTTTTAACCCCTTCATTTTTTTGGTGTATCACATGAAATGGCATGAAAGAATAAAATCGGCGTTTACCATTTGCAAATGTCTGCATTTGTTCCAGAGATATTTAAGTTTGAAAAGTGTGTAAAATATGCAAATGAGATA